AAAAAAATACACAAGGGCTGATTTCTCCACTGGAGCTGATGAAATAACGAAATTGTAAAATCGATATCATTCCTAAATTTTAAGATTAACAATCACAGCAGTATGTACTACAAATCGTTGACATGTTTTATTTACGGATTAGATCTGATTTTATTAGTCAAGAGACCTAAATAAGCATATGTTTCAAAAATAAATAAACAAACAAACAAACAATCAAATATATAAGCATTAAAAGACAGGAAAATAATAAGTTAGTAATTAGATATATCTAGCCAATATCTAATCAACAACGAGTCAAACAATCTGCCCTCTGATAAGACAGGGACCGCTTAAATAGTTTACAAAAAATAAAGTCTCCGATTCAATAACTTTGTAACAGACTACTAGCAAACACTGTGGTCAAACAGTGCACACACACACACACACACACACACACACACACACACACACATCAGGGCGCAAGCATATCTAAAACAAACTATGTACAAACTTTGAATATCCAATTCAATGACTTTGTAACAGACAACGAGCAGACCCCGTGGTCAGACAGTACAAACGACCCAACTTACACAGGTATTTACATCAACTTATCCTTACACAGGTACACATATATGACCTACTTAATACCGCGCATTTGATTGTATGCACTGTTAAAATAACAACATCAGTGAGGTCATTTTGAGCCAAGTTACAACGTACGGTAGTCAACCTCGTCAACCAGGAAGTGATTTTTGATTGTTAATTGATATCAGTAAGGGCATTCGCTTAAAGCAGAATAAGACCCTTTGGTATAGTCTTCCAGTTCTTCGTGTAAGTATCGACATGAATTGTACTTGTATTAAATGCATCGTATAATTATTTTTAATTGCACTAAAATATGAACAGTACACTTGTAAATAGGCTTTGGAGTAACTGGTTATTAAAAATGACGCCCAATGTCCCCCCCCCCCCCCCCCCCCCATTTCTCCATATGATCATCAATCCTGGAAAGTTGCGTACATTGTATTACTTAATACTACTGATTTGGGGTATAGTGAACAGTTTTGATACCCATAACTAGCGACGTTAATTATGACATTGGCACCCAGCTCAATAGAGCGTGCTTTTTTCTTTATACATATCTGTATGGTATGTATGGAGGTCGGATGACACCGTCCTCTGTGTCTGTGTCATATAAAAGTATATTATATACGAATTTGTTCCCGTTTGAAAAAAAAAAAAACGGTTTTCGATTTCAGGACCTATTATAAAGAATACAACAAACGGCAATGGGATTTGTGATATTTCTATTCCTCTCCGCTGTATTCCATCTCTATGAAATAGCCTTTACATCCACAATAGTAAGTTCTTTTCCAAGTGGACAGACAACAGTAGAGTTCAACAACTTGGCGATTGACAGCGCGAATGGGACTGTATACGTTGGGGCTGTTAATGTTCTCTATCGACTGGATGATGACTTACAACTGTTACAGAACGCAACGACTGGACCAGTCACGGATAGTCCATACTGTAGTCCACCTCCTTCTTCCTGCTCGGGAACGCTCACAGAAAACTACAACAAAATTTTGGTAGTAGACCAGTCTAGGGGTAAAGTGATATCTTGTGGTAGCGTGTACCAAGGTACTTGTGAGTCTCGACCAGTCACTGATATATCGCAGGTTACTCCACATCGTGGCTCTGACCCTTTGGAAAACTACGTTGCCGCCAATTCTCCCGATGCATCCACTGTTGCTTTTATAGCACCGGGACCCAACTCACAGGACGTGTTATATGTGGCTTCAACGTATACGGGACAGGGGGAGAGTGGTAGGCTTCGGGAATCGGTGGCAGCTGTTAGTAGCAGATCTCTTCAAACGCTTGAATTGAGAAAATACAACGCCCTGTCCGGCTCAGGAACATACATAACCCTTTCTAACATTATTGTTCGAAGTACTTATCCAGTAAATTACGTTTCTGGGTTCTCATTGCACGGTTATAGCTATTTCATCACGAACCAAAAGACCACACTAAGCAGCTCAGAGTATGAATCCAGATTAGTTCGAATCTGCCAGAATGATATCAACTTCTATTCATACTTCGAAATGCCCTTGCACTGTGCAGGGTCCAATCCTAGCGTGTTATTCAATATCGCGAAATCAGTATCAGCAGCAAATCTTGGAAATAGTAATGTACTAGTGGGTACTTTTGTTAGAGGATCTGATTCAGCTTTGTGTATATTTTCAATGGAGAGTATAAACAAGGCTATAAAAGAGAAGTACGAACATTGTTACAGTGGGAATGGAATCACTGATGCTGTAAAGGTTACAGGGTGGTCAAGACAATGTTTATCTATACCAGTAAGTTTACTTTTAATAATTCCAGTTAATTTGTAAATTTTAACAAACAGATCAGTCCTGATAAAGTGTAACCTTTTTTAGCTGACCGTCGATAAAAAAGTCTTCATTTATCCCCATTCGTCATGTTTGAGTGTTTTATATCCTCAGTCATATAACTACGGGTCAAACTACTGCAACCATGACTATGGCGGTGTTAACACGCCCCTGGTGTCAATCACCCCGGCAACATCATCCCCTGGTCTGACAACCTCGTCGTCCACATGGACAGCAGTGGCCACGACAACCACCACAAGCTACACTGTGGCTTTTGTAGGAACTGCTGACGGACAACTGAAGAAGGTACCGCACAAACTAGTAGTTAACTCTTACTTATTACGCAAACAGTGCACAGCGGACTTTTTGTTTGTTTAATAATGTAAGTATGGTAAAATCTACCCTTACTGTGTTAATTTAAAAGTGAGTTTGATAATGAATAAGGGCTCTATATTTCAAAATGCCCATATGGTAAGGCATCAAAAAGCGTGTATTGAATGAGTAAAGACATTTTTAAAGCTTTGCATATTTTGTTCAAACGAAAGTTTAAAAAAAAACATCTGTTATATATATATATATATATATATATATATATATATATATATATATATATATATATATATATATATATGTCTAATCGTTTTGAATGTTTTCAGATATTAATCCAGTCTAATACATCTGCTGTGGAATATGCAACAGTACAAGTGTCAAGCGATCAGGTTAAACATATACTGTTAGATAGCACAGGAGAGCACATGTATGTTATGACCAAATACAAGGTGAGTTCTATCGACCTGGTACATTAACAACTCAGAGAAGTAGTTCTGTTGGGAAATCAACCCAAACTGACTATAAGTCTCTTAATTTCTGGATGTTAAGCCATGTCTTGAATTTGCAAACGACCATTTAAAACATGGATATTAATACATGTATATTAATAAATGTATACAGACTACATGTAACTAAGAATTAGTGCAGCGCTTAATTGTAATGCGACCAAAATGACATAAAAAACTGTATAGCAGATAATTTCCAGGTCAGTAAGTTGAAGGTAGAAGACTGTGGTAGTTACAGTAGTTGTGAGGACTGTCTGGCATCAAAAGACCCGTTCTGTGGCTGGTGTAGTCTGGAGAATAAGTAAGAATAAAATATGATACACATACATTTGAACGGTTACTGTTGCTCACTTGATGGTTCAATTAAGACCCTCTCCACTGTTCTAGAAATTCGTGAAACGGTTCAGAATGCTATGTGATCATATTTGACGTAAACTTCATTTGTTTTACAATTTTGGAGATAAAACGTCGTTCCTTCTCTTTTAAAGTCGTTCGGCATATAATCAAGAAAGGGAATACTAAATGCATTGCTTCTATGCTTCTTGGTGATTTTTTAAGTCTAAGAATATTTTACCTGGTGAAGATTGCAATGAAATATTAATCTTACACAGATCCTCTTTCTTGACTCCTTTACTGTTATCCAACAGAGTGCTTTGTTAATGTAGGCCGGATATGAACCCATCATTAATATAATAATTAAACCGCCTGATCCCCGTGTTTTGCTTTCTAGATGCAGCAGAAAAAGCCAGTGCTCAGATCCAGATGCCGCCGAAAGATGGCTTCCCTTTGATAACCCACAGTGTACCAAGATCAATACCATTTCACCATCAAACACACCTCTAGCCAGACCCACACAGGTACAAAGAATTGTTATATACGTGGATTTATTGCACAACCAACTTTCGTTTCATTTGATAATATATTACCAATAATCTTAGTGATATCTTTTGGTGGACTCCATGTAAAGTCTAGGAAAGAACAACTTGTAGAAATATTTCTTCACTGTATTACCATATTGTGCGTAGGTGAATGCTGTAGATCCTGAATCGCGATTTTTGCGTCCTTCATTAACCGAATTGCTTAGGCAAAAGGTGTTGTAACCGATCATTTGGCCTCTGAACAACGTCATACACATTAATGCATCGGTATGAGAATCACATTAAATTGTGAACGTGGCTGAATGCAGTCAGTAGTTTGATACATGTATCTGTAGGTTACAATATGAACTACCATCTAAAAAGAGAATCATTGTTGAGTCCATTCGTATTTTAGGTGAACATGTCAGTAAGTCTTCTACCCCCAGGCCAGACCTACCAGTGTGTATTTGATACCACAGCTGTCACTGCCACAGTCACTGGGGGGAACTTGGTGACATGTGACACACCCACAAATTTACCTACTATACCCGTTGGGGACGGTATGGAGTATTGTTATTTCTAAGCAGGTTGCATATATATATCAAATGAACAAAATATCCAACACAGTCTTATCCCTTAAATAATTCAACTTGTTCCAGTTACCACACATTTATGGTATAATGCAATTGCACATTTACTAATTTTTATTGCACCAAAAATCTACACTTTTAATACAGTTCTTGAACATTTAAGAATGTATTTTTGTTCATGTCTTCATTACAACTACATAAGTTCAGCATTATAAATTCATCATCCAACTTTAAGTTGAAGTAATAGTGCAATGCATTTTTCTTCTTTTTATTATTATTAAAAAAAAAAAAAAAACACTGTCAGATATTATTTTGATACATACGTTTGTCTGTACCACATTGATGGATCAAATTTGTTCTTTAGAAATATTTTCTAATAAGAGATTTTTGAATCACCCGCTAAGGAAAGTACTACTTTCATTTCAGACCACATCACAATACCTTTATCTATCAAATCAGTAACGACTGGAGTCAAGTTTTTAACGACCAACTTCACATATTTTGACTGCAGCGCTCACTCAGGGTAACTACTTCTCATTGCGATCTGTACATCTTATTAGATTCGCTCAAAAGAAATTGAAGTATCGTTAAGGTTTCGCATTAACATATTGTTAATATTTATATAAACAATAACTTTTCAATTGAATTGAAAAAAGTGCTCCATCCATACTAGCTGGGGAGCTTATAATGAAAAAAAATAAACAAACGAAATCAGCTGGTTTGGTCCATAATTTTTGATATTTTCACCCCTGATAAGGTCCCCGATAAGATAAGATAAGATTTTTCCTATATATATATATATATATATATATATATATATATATATATATATATATATATATATATATATATGTCTTTTTCGAGCTATTCTTTATATGTATTAATTGCTAGGTGTGTTTCCTGCACCAGTAGTAGTTGGGCCTGTAACTGGTGTATATATGCAAACAGGTGCACCCACGCCAGCAGTACTTGTAGTCCTAGTGGAGGGGTGATACCAGGACAGAATGTACGTTCAATTCTTTTTTTATTAGTCCGTGTCTACCCTTTTTCTTCCAAACCTAGATAAAGCCAGATAATCCTGGTCACTGATGCAAGTTTTCATGCTTGTGACATGTAAAACACTGCTACTGGAAGTAGAAACGAATATCATTTTACGTACAATTTTTAAAGTCGGTTTTCAAGAACAGAAACATATTTACGGATGAGAAATAGTGCTGTCTTTTTCCGTCATTTCAGAGCCGACTCAGTGTGGGAATAAAAGGTCCCACCCTGTGTCCCCAGCTTCTGCCACGTGCACATGACGTCCTGTTACCTGCTGGGGTACCTAAATTGATCTCACTGATTGGGAAGAACATACCTGTGCCACAGGTAAAATTCACTTAAATGTGGTTCTTAATTATGCTACCGTTACCTATATGTTCACGTAGGAATATATTCCACGTAAGTATGATTTTTTATTATTTGCGATAGAGAACCTTACAGTCATGGGAAGATAGATTGTGGTTTTGCATTATTACAAAAAAAAAAAAAAAGCAATGCTTCATTTCTAAATCAGTATCAATTAAAAGACTGACATAAACCAGAGATTCGCACTCCAAATAGATTTTTATGAAGTTTTACATTTTGTTGTGCTCTGCAATTATTTTGCTTGTTTTTGACCTTGCCCCAACGTCATTCCAGGCTGGCCAAGGTGGTTATCTATGTAAGATAGGTACTAACACAGTCCAAGCTATCAGACAGAATGATAGTGCCATAGATTGCCAGAACCACGCTGTGAGTAGATATCACACACAAACATATTACGATATAGTGAACATTCAGTTTGTTCCTTAAAGGCCAACTTATATCAGATTCTGCTTTACCGTATCATAAGACCATCAGATCTAAGAGAAGACCAAGTTATTACTGTGTAAACTAGTCATATATTCAAACATGTTAGTCTAAATTTTTGCCTGTTGCTGTTCTTCTCTAAACAGGCAGATTGTGATTAAGTAGGAAGTATCCTGAATTTTACTCTAAGTATATTATTATTAAGAAGTAATATTTATAGTTAGAAGATAATGTGTATAGGATGATATATTTTTCCAAGATAAAGACAGTTGGTCTGCAATTTTTATCTCCGTTGATTTTTTTTGTTGTTCATTATAGTCGTTATTATTAAATCAGACGTTTGGTTGTATTTAACGGGTGTTCCGTTCATTATACCAGTATATATACACAGCCAATACAGGGCAAGAGAAACACCAAATCCAAGTGATCTGGAACAATAACCATGTGATAGATCAACCCACAGGTTCTGAAGTCAGTGGTATGTATTGTACACCAAATCAGTTTTACTTCCTTTTTTATCTTAAACTAAATGTGTTTAATAGATGTAAATATTTGGAATGTGTAAACGCTTTAATATATTATTTTGCCTTCTCAGAAAGAATCATACCACCTGTCGCTCAGAAGACGAAGTATGTGATTTCACATGCGAAGATATTTTGAAAGTCTCTTATTTTGTTGTCAGTTTACTTGTATTACTGTCAATTCTTTTCATGGTTACAGCTATGTACAACACAATTTTAACATTGTTTGGCAGTATTTATGATATATATTTGGTATACCATTACTTCACGATAATGCCACTGTTATTTCAGCAATCATGTACAAAATGTTTTGCAAGTCAAATGTCTTGTTGGTAGTTTACTGGTATTACTGTTAATTCTTTAAATTGTTACAACTAAAGCGTATGTACATCACAAATGTAACATTGCTGGGCAGTGCATATTTAGTTATCATGGTATACCATTACACGATAATGTTACTGTTATTTCAGCAACCCTGTACAAGTGTGACATCCTTGGGACCACATGTGGCACATGTATTGGTGGTGTGGATACAAAATTTAGATGTGCTTTCTGTGGAGGGACGTGCAAGTATCACCCAACATGCCGTGTGCCAACTGACAGCACTTGCCCTAATGTTATTATTAACTGGGTTAGAACTGTAATATATTGTAAATGTAATGTCCTTGTCACCAGTAAGTCTGTTTTATGTGGAGATTTAAAAAGTTTTATATAATGATTATCTTAATTTTCAAGTGTCACATGAATATGCTTATCAGTATGGTAAGCCACAGCAAACAGTTTTCCTGAGAAAAATTTTTGTCTTTAACAGACAATTATTATATATGAGAGAAAATTGGAGCACAGTGGAAAAGTTAATCAGCACATATATCTATGAGTATGACAACCTTAAAAAGTATAAACAATGTATTTCAGGTTACTCCCTTGAGTGCCCCAGTTAATCAGCACATATATCTATGAGTATGACAACCTTAAAAAGTATAAACAATGTATTTCAGGTTACTCCCTTGAGTGCCCCAGTTGAAGGTCACACCAAGGTCACCATCAGTGGCACCAATTTAGGCACCTCTGATGCCAGTATACCCACTGTTAGACTGGCCGGGGTGGTCTGTAGACCTGTTGTAGAAGATTATGTGGTGTCAAAAAGGTAAGGAATTGTCGTAACTTTTGGCACTGGCAGTTGTAAATGAACCTGTTCATTTCCCTGTACCAATGGTATTGTTGTCCAAAACTTACTCCTGTTAAAGAAAATTAGAAATATGTAACAAGTGCACGACAATTTATTATTGCTTTCTTGGATGATTTAGTGGCATAGAGCTTAAATGGCTATTGTAATTGGCAGAATTGTAAGATTTTACTTATAGGAAGTTTTTTTTTGCTTTCTATTGGAAATCCATTTTAATGGCTTTTCCCACCTTATGTGTCCACCAGACTCCAGTAACTGTTATGACCACAGAACCATTTTTTGCACTGTTTTGTTTCCCAAAATCATGTCTGCATATTTTTAGGATTGTGTGTACGGCAGCGGAAGCTCCAGGCAGGTTGGCCAGGAATGGTTCCGTAGAGGTCCAGGTCCAGGGTTTGGGCAAAGTATACCGCCATTCCCAGATGTTCAGATATGTGGTGAGTATTTTTTTCTAAAGACAACTATCACCACATCACTGATGTTGATGGAATTATGGAATAACAGCTAAAGGATACAACCTCTCCAAACAGTTCAGATATGTGGTGCGTAAGTGTTTTGAAATACAGCTATATACACATCACTGGTCAAGTGTAATGACAAATGCTGGGACAGAATATTATATTTGTGTCATTACACTAAATTTGATGATATTTTTCTAATTAAAAATTGATTATGGCGTGATAAAAAATGTATGTACTATAGTTTTAAGCGTGTATTTACAGGGATAAAGACTGCTAGTTGAGTTATAAAATTCCAAAATTAATTAACACAATATAAACAATAATATATATAATAAATAATAAATTCCCCATAGTAGTTTAACACAGGGAAATCCTATTTCTGTCACTTTTCCTGCCATAAAAAGTTATCTCATTAATTGTCCCTTTCAGGACCCCAGGCTGGAGACAGTGTTCCCAGTGAAAGGCCCCATAGCTGGTGGCACCAGGCTGACTGTGAGGGGGAAAGATCTTAATGTTGGCAACCTGGACAATATCAGCCTTACCCTTGGAGAGGAAATGTTGCCTTGTATTGTAGATAGGTAAGGATACTTCGTAGACTGTTTGCATCAATCTTTAATTTTTTTGTACTAAATATGTTTTTAAAAGTTGATGGACTAAATAAAAATATTAAAAATCGTGACTTTCAACAAAGGATGTTTGAAATACACTCCCTAATAAACAGTAGCTGCTTTTTTTTTGGAAAAATAAAATACTGCTTTTGGTTAGACAGGGTAACATGGATATTTTTTCCAACAATTACTGTAAAGAAATATAATAAATGAACTACAAGAGCGTGATACTGGCCCAAATGTTCAAACCAAATATTCCACAGTCAATACAAGTTGAATATATGTGTGTGTAAGTGTGTGTGTGTGTGTGTGTGTGTGTGTGTGTGTGTGTGTGCATGTGTAAATGATATACAAAATGGAAAAAATGCAACACATAAAACCATGGCAATTCAGTCTCTTTTGATGGATATAAATTTTGCGTAATTTCCAGAAGTACAATTGGCAGCCATTCCACCATTTGTGCCACTCCAGGGGTTAGTAGGCCAAAGGTCGTGACCTCTGTCAGGATGTTCTTTGACGGTAGTGTAAGGATGCTGGACCAAAACCCATTTACGTACACTGAGGACCCTGTGGTGGAAAAAATAATGCCACTGACCAGCTTTGTCAGGTAACGTACATGAAGGCCGGGTGTGATAAGAAGTGTACTGAATGCAACGACCAGCGTAATTTTCATTATTTTGCAATAATAGTCCTTCGAGCAAGACAATTGTCAATTTAAAATACGGAATATGTGGACATTAATAAAAGGGCGCTTTTAGTAACACAATATTTTTAATAATATTCAGCGGAGGTCGGATTTTGACAGTCATTGGGAAGAATTTTGACTCAATTCAACAGCCAAAGATATTTGTATGGAACGGGAAGGAAAAGTCGCACACAACGGTAAGGGGAAGGCAATTATCTCCTACTTAAGCAAATATTTTTTGCTCTCTCGTTTGCTCTCTATGGGTTCTTGAGTACTAGTGGTAACGTGTGATGAGTGTGCATGTCAGTGATTGGTGTGTATAAATGCGCTTAAAAAATAGACTGGTCCTTGAATTATCAGAGTGAAGAAGCTTTTCCCTTACTTTATACCGACATGATGAAAATTATTCCACTTTAGTTTATCCTTCCTTGATTTGCATGTAATGCGACCTTTTCACTTTTTAATCATGGCATCTAATCATTGATTTCGCCTTTCTGTCAGTATTGTCTCCATATACCAGAAATGTCCAGTACCACATTAACATGCCCATCGCCAAGAGCGCCTAACGGGATTCATCCAACGATACCAGACACTTCAGGTTCCTTGCGCTTTAAGAGGCAGATGGACACCAATACTATCGCGAATATTGGCTTTGTAATGGACGGAGTGGTCGCAGTGCAGAATTTAACCAACATCACTTCTTCTATTCAATATGTTGTGGACCCGTTGTTCCAGAATTTGACCAGTGACGGTTCTAGTGTGAAATATCAAAGTAACACGAGCTTCGTAATACGTGTGAGTCAATCTTTGTTCAAGTTAATTTTGTGAGAGTGAAAAAATTCGTACCCAGAAAAAATTTAATAAAATGAAATAAAATAATTACAAAAATTACACACATAAGTACATGGAACATACCAAACTAACATTTTTAAACATACAGGAGTTTCATTACAATCAGTGCCTAATTCCTGAACATATTTAACCACAATTAAGGCCAAGTTATGACCAGCCCAAAGAGCACTACCCGGTTAAAACCCTGCACATTGCGCAAGGTAGCAGTCTTACAGTCTTGGTAGTTAGTTTATTGGTAGCCACACATCAGCTTCCAAACGTTTCCATCTACATATTTCATATCAGATCTATGTTGAAAAATAATAGATATTAAGTAGGCATACCTCTGACAATGACATATTCCATATTCATAATCGTACGAATCTGTACAATCAGTGCAAAATTCCTGAACCCATCTGATCACAGTTAGAACTCTTTTTATGATGTGATTATGACATACTTACATATAACTCACTTTCGTTCAACAGGGGTATTATCTCAACCTTGCCGCAAGTGAAGCAGATGTGACTGTTCTGATTGGTGGGCATAACTGTGACGTCACGGGTTTGGCTCCAAGTATTCTTGTCTGCAAGCCGCCACATTTTGACTACGGAAATAAACTGGTAGCTGTAAGTAATTGTATATCTTGATTTGTTTGTTTGGAATGTATTTTTATAAATGATACAGGGTGTCTGTCGCCTACTCGTCAAGGTAAACAATACTGGTCTGTCAAAAGTGCGTTTCTTAATTGAATGAAGACTTGGAGAACACAACTCTTTAAAAACATATATACTTGTATTAAGGTTCCCTGTTAGGTAACGTATTCATCATTTACTTTTGCGTAAGTCTTGCTGGTGCATTGCTGGTAGTTAAGTCACTGTCCCTATTGTTGTTCTATTCCTTATTTCAAATAATACAATAGAGTGTATTTATTCTCTTCAGATACGTATGGGTAATTTAAACTACCAAGTGGGATATCTAAACTATGGGGATCCTCCTATGGATCATTCTGCAGTCAACTATGGTTGGGTAGCCGGGCTAATTGTCCCTATTGTTGCTTTAACTGTCACTGGAATCGTTACCGGAGTAGTAGTCTACAAAAGACGTGCAAAACGTGCTACTACCAATCACAAAGGCGCCAGTGACATGGAGTACCTCGGTTTAAGTAGTCAGTTCACACCACCGCGTGTTATCAACACTATAGAGGACGCCTTGATGCTGGTGAAGGATGGTGACTTAAAGGTTGTTCTAAAGCCTGTACTGGTGAGCAGAGACCGGATTAAAATTGGGAAGTTAATAGGCACAGGTGCGTAAATGACCATCGGGTTACAAAAATGTTATTGTGTATTGAAAACTCACTCTGGGATCTTAACTTATTTCCCCATTAATACGACATGACTTGTGCTTCAGCATATGCCCGGGATCAAAGCTATAGTCACGCCCACAGTGCTTTTATGGCGGTTCGATTAGTATATTTTATAAAACAATGATAGAATAAACATACTGGAGAGGGAGTAACAAATGTCTATATAGTAATAACGTTTATTAGTTTTTTTCAGGGCACTTCGGTTGTGTATTTGAAGGGATTTACGAAGACAGCGAACATTACAACCCTTCAAAAGTAGCTGTGAAAACGTTTCAAGGTACATGCTAAAAAGTCCTTGATCATTATCTTGCACTTAATACTTGAATAGGATTAATGAATATATATGTCTGTTAATAATGCTTTGTCAATTATATGTTGTCTATTTTTATAAGAAAACATGTCTATGCCAAAACTTATATTCACAATGTTATTGATAATTGTCCTTAAATACATACTGAAAGAAGTATTGACACTACCCACCCCCATACACAAATTTCGCAAACAAGCTATCTCTACACAAGCGCATTTAATATATGAAGGACACATTCCCTGCAGGAAAGGGTGCAGACATTCAGCATCTAGATGAATTCCTCAGAGAAGGAGCTCTGATGACGTCATTCCGCCATGATCACGTGTTGACAATACTCGGGATATGCTTCGAAGTTGACGGCAACCCCATGATTATATTACCGTACATGGCCAATGGAGATCTCAAAACTTACATCGAGAATCCTAAGAATGTGCGTAAGAAATGCTGTAGTGAGTTTGGAGAAAGGACACAATTGTTCAAGATCAGACTGGTCATGCTATTAAACTCATAATAGCTTACTGGAAAACATGAAAAAAGTTAAGTTAAGCGTCTTTAATTGCATTGCTGAGAAATAGATTCAGACCTAGCTACTGAAAGCTTTTGTATGATCCTGACGTCATTGCAATTTGAATCCGGGTATGACGTATTGTTCTAAAATATTATTGGGAACGAATATTTTATGTTATTTTAGGCACCTACTGGACTACAGCTGCTACAGTTCGGTTTGGACGTAGCCCGGGGCATGGAATACCTTGCTGAGAACAAATTTGTCCATCGGGATTTAGCTGCTAGAAACTGCATGTGAGTAATGTTATCTGTCCCAAAAGAACAGATAATCTTAATAAAGGGTAGATTACACAATACCTTTTTTTGCTTTGAGGGGGGATTCTAGAGGAATAGGCGTTCCTCTTGAGGAACAGGTGTTTCCATAGGCAAAACGGGAGAAGATCGCCATTCCGTTGAGATTTTCAAACTTTGAGTGTTTTAAAGTCAGTAACTAATACTGTAAACTCAGGCACACTTGAAATACACAGTATTAGGTAATATTTGTGAGTATTATATGCCAAGCAAATGATCAACCAAATCTAGAAGAGTAAATACATTGTCAGTTAGCAAGAGAAAGTTGACAATTGTATGGCAATCATTGGTGATAAAAACTCACCCAGCTTTGCTATGCTTTCAGGCTAGATGACCAGCTGCGCGCCAAAGTGGCCGATTTTGGACTGACTCGTGACGTGTACACCAAGGAATATTACAGCTCCAGAGACAAGCAGGCCAAGTTGCCGGTGAAATGGATGGCGCCAGAGTCCATGGAAAGGAACGTTTACACTTTTAGATCCGATGTGGTATGGCCATGCGGTTACATTAAGTTTTAGTTCGGAATTTACAGCTTTTCCCTTCATTATACGGTAGTGCAGATTGAATTTTAAAATCAATAAGCTCCATGAACGAAAAAATCAAATTTCTTCAAATTTTAAATGATTGACTGATATATGAATTAGAAAATAAAACAAATTAAAATAAAACACGTATTTTAAGATGTCAAATAATTATCAAGGAATGTGTCCTCTAGCTTTCTCGTGTTTTAGATGTACAATGTTTTATGTTATTTCTTTTATATTTGTTTCTCTGGGAAGCAAACCTTTTAAATAGCAAACCCCTGAGGGTAAGGCATCAGAATATGGTACCCATAATCGCCCTGCAAAAGCCGTTCCCACTTTTGGGATTATTTTAAATTTCCAGTTGTCCATATAAATTATAATAATATTTGATTTGTATGCTATTTTAGGAGAGATAAACTATAAATGTCAAACCATCCTTGTTTTCAATATTTTTTTTACCATTATATACATATTTCTGTTGTCTACAGTGGTCCTATGGCATACTACTTTGGAAACTGTTCACTCTCTGTTAGGTTTTTATTATCATTATATACGTATTCTATTGTCTACAGTGGTCCTATGGCGTCCTACATTGGGAACTGTTCACTCACAGTAAGGTTATAAATATAATTATATAAATATTTCTATTGTCTACAGTGGTCCTTTGGCGTACTACTTTGGGAACTGTTCACTCGCGGTAAGGTACCGTATCCTGGTGTAGACGGATGGGATGTTCTACAGTTCCTTAAACTTGGGAGAAGACTGGACCAACCCGACTACTGTCCTCAGAAAGTGTAAGTCCTGACTAACAGCAAGCCTACGGGTATTTACGTATACAATTAGTATGTACACACGTAGCTATTTCTGGTCTGACGCAAGTCCAAGATATTGGTATGGCCGTTATTTCCAATACTGTGACAGTATTTTTAATGTTATCATAAGGGTTTGGATTTCTCAATCCTCTTATATGATGCAAAATTTGCATGCCTCATGCTGAATCAGTGTCTGCCTGTATCGGTGCGTAACAGTGCTAGTGGCACATGCACCTGACTGTGCATTCAGACACGCACATTGTACATACTACAGGTAGTATACTGCCTTGGCGGATCTCGAAAATGGGGGTCACCTGACTATTAACCAAAACTACATATGTAGACCCTGTCGAAAAGGGAGTGGAAAAAAAAAAAAACAAAGTCTACAGAGGCACGTGCGTTTCATTTTTTTTTGTGTGTGGAGAGGGGATTAGGGGTAGGGTGTCAATTTCTGATGGCGGTCCAAATTATTGGGATCCCGTTCTTGTTGTCTTGATTGTATCAATTTTGAGTATACCATGTCGTCTCTACTATTCCAGGTATCAGCTCATGCTGAAGTGCTGGTCATGGGAGCCAGAGGAGCGGCCAGACTTCACCTCTATTGTGACTCAAATAGAGGAGACAGTGAGAGTCAACACGGAAGTTGGTGGAGAACCTGGTCACAATGAACATAAGGGTGTAGATATTGATGACCATATGTACACTGAAGTGCTCCCTTAACAATGTAACACCTGTTTATAATTTTGTCAACTCGTTTTTTGACAATGTTTTTCATTTGCTATTAGGATGACGACATTGTTTCCTGCTCATATGGACTTGGCACCTGTATATTTCATCTCAGCTGTATGTTTATTAATGATCTTTAAAATCGATTACATGACCGCATTATATTTTGTTTTGCAATTAAGAAAAATACGAGACTGCTGCTTCCACGCTTGTTGAACTTCGGTGTCCTTTATAGGCTCTTGTTTATCAAATGATGCGCATGGCACGTAAGAGCGCATTTAGAACTGATGACCCGCGGACAAACTCCCAACCTCCACAGGCACCGTCGTTGTAGGGACGTTGCCATTAAACCTTGGAGCCCAGATTTAATCCGTTTAATGGCGCGTGTGGAGGTGGGGAGGCAATCGAGCAAATAGCGGTAATAGTGAAGAAGAGCACGGGAAAGACAAAGTGAATCTTTTAATGGCGTTTTACTATTTAATAGGATTCAGTAGAATTTCAAGCATTTTTAGTATCAAATATTATCTCAAAATGATATAATCTTCTTGAAAATCAGACACCTTGCAAATTGAACTATATACACCTGTACCTGGACTGAGCAAATATGTTCATGAACTTGGTAGTTGGATCATAAATGAAAATTATTAAACACAAGCCGAAAACTTTCATACCGTTAGCTTACAGCCCATTGGGTTGGGTCAGGAGCATCGTCAGAGTTAACCGCACTCCCCTTAACGCATTGTTAATGCAGCTAAATGTAAGATTGGGTGAATAAATCGCTTTGTTTGTGCGTCCATCTTCTTTTGCATGCTTATCTGTTAGATTACCGGGAAGAATGTAAGATAATAGTATGCATCATTATCTGATACTAGTTCTTTTTTATATATGATCTCCTAAACATAACGACTGTCACTCGAACTGAGCATTATAAGGTCCTTCAAATTTCGTAAAAAAAAAAAAGGGAAATCATCATCATCATTATTTTTACTTTCGCAAAAAAATCAACAGAATTTCGGATCTTGATCATTACGTATGCAAAATACCAAAAATCAAACAAAACTGGTGCCATGAAATTCTATTTATTTGCACCATTTTTTTTCGTCAAATAATGTGACTTTCTTTAATCGGTTTCTGTTTTACATGGACATATCTTTTGCGGGACCCATGACTCTTACAGTAATAAACATCATGTTTCCAATTTCATCTGTTTGTCGGTTTTATTTTCATTTGTAAAATATTTGAATGGGTGATAAAATTTAAGCGCAGTAAAGTAGCATGATTTGTATTTTTTTTGCTGTATTCCAAACGATTGAAGCTGTAGTTTAAAAGATTTGGAACTCATGACCTGGCAGTTAGAAGATTGGTGGCTTTGAATCTTGCCAAGGGGGGTGTTAAACTGACTCAAAGTGTATCTCGCTTGTGACACATCAACACACCCAGGTACAAACGCGTAGAGAGAGAGAGAGAGAGAGAGAGAAAGTCATGATAACCGTATCAGGCCCGTAGCCAGGGGGGGGGGGGGGGGTTCGGGGGGTTCGAAAGAACCGCCCCTTTTGCTGGTAAAAGATCCACTCTGGGTAAAATTTGATCTAGGTACATGAAGTTTTTATCGAAAAAGGTCCACTTTTTTAGAAGAAGAACCAACCTTTTGAAATTTCTGGCTACGGGCCTGCGTATTATCTTTATAGTTTTTTTTCTTATCTTCGCATTTTAATAGGCAAAATAAGTTTATATACCAATAACCAGCACCAATTTCTCCACACCTACTCACACAATGCTGATCACAACACACAGCGCAACTAACACAATCAAGAGAGAAACAAAGGACAGCACATTCTCTCGTGTCACTTATCCTTGTTTTTATTTTGGTGTATCTGGAATGAGCGGAAAGAAATTATAACATCTGTGATAAATAAAAGGAAACTCGGAGAGATAGTTTTGGGGGAAGGAGAAAAAAAAGGGTTTATGTGACATTAAAGGGGGGTATGTGCTGTGTTCCCCTCTACAAGAAGGTGGAATGGGGATGTCGAGGGGGGGGGGGGTTAACATCACATCATCTTTGGGTCTACCGTAACCTTGTCCACTGTTGTATGCATTTACTGGCTTGTGCGAAGAAGACTTTGTCGTTCATGCGTGTTTCATAATCATTTATTCATCAACGCCAAAAAGAATGGATAAATAAAACTTTCCGAACCCTAAAAAGAGATAAAACATGACGGAGTCCATGACTGGTCTTTCTGATCTTTACCCCGCTGATATAGTTATTTGGCTGGCTTTAAACTTTTAAGAGAGTTGGAGGGGAACCGTTAAGTGATTTTTTTTATCTGTTTAAACAATAAAAAAAATTTCAAAGTCGTGATGGTTTCACATAAAAAAATAAAAATAAATAAAAAAATACACAAGGGCTGATTTCTCCACTGGAGCTGATGAAATAACGAAATTGTAAAATCGATATCATTCCTAAAATTTAAGATTAACAATCACAGCAGTATGTACTACAAATCGTTGACATGTTTTATTTACGGATTAGATCTGATTTTATTAGTCAAGAGACCGAAATAAGCATATGTTTCAAAAATAAATAAACAAACAAACAAACAAACAAATATATAAGCATTAAAAGACAGGAAAATAATAAGTTAGTTATTAGATATATCTAGCCAATATCTAATCAACAAGGAGTCAAACAATCTGCCCTCTGATAACACAGGGACCGCTTAAATAGTTTACAAAAAATAGTCTCCAATTCAATAACTTTGTAACAGACTACTAGCAAACGATGTGGTCAAACAGTGAACACACACACACACACACACACACACACACACACACACAACAAGGGCGCAAACATATCTAATACAAACTATGCACAAACTTTGAGTATCCGATTCAATAACTTTGTAACCGACAACGAGCAGACCCCGTGGTCAGACAGTACAAACGACCCAACTTACACAGGTATTTACATCAACTAATCCTTACACAGGTACACATATATGACCTACTTAATACCGCGCATTTGATTGTATGCACTGTTAAAATAACAACATCAGTGAAGTCAATATGGGCCAAGTTACAACGTACGGTAGTCAACCTCTTCAACCAGGAAGTGATTTTTGATTGTTTATTGATAGCAGCCGGAAAAAAATTCGCCTAAAGCAGAATAAGACCCTTTGGTAAAGTCTTCCAGTTCTTCGTGTACATGTAAGTATCAGCATGGATTGTACTTGTATTAAATGCATCGTATAATTATTTTTTAATTGCACTAAAATATGAACAGTGCACTCGTAAATAGGCTTTGGAGTAATTGGTTATTTAAAAATGATTCCCAATGCACCCCTACATTTCTCAATATGATCATCAATCCTGGTACGTTGCGTACATTGTATGACTTAATACTACTGATTGGGGTAAAGTAAACTGCTTTGATACCCGTAAGTAGGGACTTTAATAATGACCTTGGTCTACAGCTCAATAAAGGATATTTTTTTTCTTTTTACATGTATGATATATATGGGGATCGAATTACACCGTCCTCTGTGTCATATAAAATCATTTTATATACGAGAATGTTCCTGTTTGAAAATAAGAACGGTTTTTAATTTCAGGACCTATTATAAAGAATGCATCAAACGGCAACGGGATTTGCGACATTTCTGTTCCTCTCCGCTGTATTCCATCCCTGCGATATAGCCTTCACCTCCACAGTTGTCAGTTATTTTCCAAGTGGACAGACATCAGTAGAGTTCAACAACATGGCGGTTGATAACGCGACTGGGACTGTATATGTTGGAGCTGTTAATGTTCTTTACCGACTGGATGTTGACTTACAACTGTTACAGAACGCAACAACTGGACCAGTCACGGACAGCCCATACTGTTATCCACCCCCTTTTTCCTGCTCACAGGGGACCCCCACAGACAACTACAACAAAATCCTAGTAGTAGACCAGTCCAGGGGTAAACTGATATCTTGTGGTAGCGTGTACCAAGGTACTTGTGTAACGTTAGTTAGTGACAGCGTGCAGCGAATAAGAGCGGGGAGTGTTTTGTAGTGTCACTTTAGTTGATTGACACGACCTTATTGTTCTTAAGCGAAGAATGTAATGTAGACGGGGAGAACGATGTAAGAGGTTGAACGATGAGGAACAAACTGTAGATAGCGTAGTTAGAAAGCGATAATAAAGAATATGGGAAAACATGGAATTGTTTAGTTATTACCTCGCGCCACCAAGACAAAGTCAGTAACGTCGTCACATATGGTGGAGGATGCAAAAAGAGGAAGAGACTTTCGACATGAATAATGTCAGATAGAGAGGGACCAGTCACCAGACAGACATCCAGAGGCGAACGTATTCTATCCGAAAAGAAGATGGCGACGGGACAAACAAAGGAAATGAAAGGTAAGGAAGAACCTTTTGATTTTTTAGATATTCGAGACCAGTTAGAAGACATCCACATGAAATTAGATGTTATGGGTAAGGGTGACCCTCTTTTACACGCAGTTCAGAGGCAACTTACAGTATTAAACGAAAAACCAACTTCCGTTTCTGCCGGTCCAAATATTGATACATTCTTTGGCTTTTCAACAGAAAACGCGCGGTTATGGCTTACGAGGTTCGAAAATTTCTGCAANTCAGTAACGTCGTCACACTTGTGAGTCTCGACCAGTCACTGATATATCAAATGTTACTCCACATCGTGGCCACCGTGATCCATTGGATAATTACGTTGCCGCCAATTCCCCCGATGCTTCCAGTGTGGCTTTCATAGCACCGGGACCCAACTCACAGGACGTGTTATATGTAGCTTCTACGTACACGGGGCAGGGGGAGAGTGGGAGACTCCGGGAGCTGGCTGCAGCAGTTAGCACAAGATCTCTTCAGACAATGGAATTAACGAACTACAACCCACTGTCCGGTATGGGAACGTATATAATCCTCTCGGACACTGTTCGAAGTATTTATCCAGTGCATTACGTTGCTGGGTTCTCTTTGAACGGTTATAGCTATTTCA